TCCATTTTAAAGACGAGTCATATTTGTTTACAAAACTTACATACAATAAAAGCTGTTATTTGATTGGTTCCAGTCCTAGACCAGGAACAAATGATATAGTAGCTGTCTAGCCAACTTTTAAATAACCACTTATGTCAAGGGTTTGTGTGGTGTTCCGAAATCACAAAACCTTGACATTGCCAGGATGACCATCCATATATATGTCCAGTCAGAAGTTTCTGGTGAGACAGTAGCTCTACTGGTGTGTACTTATAATAAAGAAAGGTGTATCTTACTATAATCTACTTGTGTATCAAGTCTAATTGAAATCCGACTAAAACTGTAAGAGGAGTAATGTTTTGAAAGAATTTCACAGGGATTTCTATTTATAGTAACACACGGCATTGTCAAAATCAAAAACCAGTATATAGAATTATTTATCTTAGTATAGTCTACTTGTGTACTAAGTCTTATGGAAATCGGAAAAAAATGTAGGAGTAGCGTTTTGAAAACTTGTATACAGACAGATGGACAGCTAGACAAACAGCTAGACAGATCTCACTAATGCATTTAAGCTCGTATGGTCTCTGACCAGTAGAGCTGAAAATTCACTCAGATTTCATTCGTGTATCGTCCATTAACATTCAAACATTTTCAGCTTCTTTTCTGGAACTGCTGAACCTATTTCAACCAATTTTGGCATACGGCATCTAGTAGTGAAAATTGTGAATTTCATGGTTAAAACCATCAAAAGTATTGCAATTTTTAAAAATCTTCTTTACTCCTGGACATCAAGTAGTTGAACTGTTGCCATGCTTGTAATAAGCATTGAGCCCTCTACCAAAATTGTGAAATCCATAACCCCAGTGTCAAGGGTTCTGGATTTAATAGGGCGGGGCTCTAATGATCGTATAGAGAAAACTGCAAAAATTCTTTAAAAAAATCTCTCTCTCCCTGAATATTCAGGTGATAAGGGTATATTACAAACCCAATCACTAGATAAAGAGATACCCAATGTGCTACCACTTCCTCTAGAAGGTTCTGTTTGTTGAGACGGAAAATATCTGATGAATTGTAACTTCAGTTGCAATTTTTATCCTTTCTATCCAGGCTATTTTTTACATAGTTTTTTAATTAATAGATAGGAAATTTTGCCCAAAAAGGGAAGGAAAAAAATGAAAAAGAAAAAAAGGACGGGTGAGAATTTAAAAAATAAGTTCTACTCACCAGATGGCACATAATACACAACGTATATCTACATATGAATGTAATAGTAATAGATTTATAATTGATTAAATACACGTTGCTATTCAGAAGAAGATTTAATATTCTTTATTCACTCAAAACCAGATCACTGGTACTTTACAAATATATACAATATAAAGACAAATAACAGGTAAACGTCAATATATACAAGTATGTAAAGAAAAAAAAAAGAAGGAAAGAAAAAATCAAAAATACAGTCAGTTATAGAAGGATTAAGAAGAACAGTTTTCTTAGAAAAATTTACAATGGTGTGTGTGTGTTTGTGTGTGTGTTTCTACATTGCTTGTGTTCATTAGTTCATTACACTTAAAGGAATTTTTATAACTCCTTTGGACAAATATTTTTCTGTCGTTCCAGAAGTATCACGATACTTACATTCCAAAACATAATGAAATTCATCACCAATGCCATTACAATTACACATTGTATCTGTGAAATCTATTAAATATTGTACAAGCTAGCAGTTTGACAGAAAACAAATAGGAAAATTGACATGAAACATTAATTTAAATTGCAACGAGTACTCGCTTATCGTTCGACTAAAGCCTCCGACTATTCGACTAAGCTGTCCGAGTAAAATTGACATCCCGAATTTTATTAATTATCATAGATGTGTGTGTGTGTGTGTGTGAGGGAGGGTGTGTGTGCGTGTGTGTGTAAAAATGTAAAAAAATAATCTGTTGTGGTCCCGTCCGACCCATGATTTGAACAACATGAATCTACCTCACCAAGGGTGTTTACATATTTTTAAATATGACTAATTATGGCATGTTGTACTTGATAAGATTTATCCTATATTTTCCCAGGTTGCACTTAAATGTCTTTTGTAGCCACATCCTATCTCCGGATCATAATTTGAAGAAGAATGGAAGCTATGTCTCAAAGCCTTTAACAGGTTGGGAACAATTCCCCTGTAGAGAGATCATCTCGCTACAGCGCGATTATCCCTCTCTAGCGGGAGAAAATACATCTCGGAAACCCGAGATTTATATTCCGATTCCATCTGTAAACGTGTTAACTACCGTAAAAGGAAAATCCGGAAGCATGTCAACCCATTTGTTAAATATTTATTGTCTCATGTCTATATATTTGCTTTAAAATATTGCCTCTACTGCTGCATATACCTTGGAAATTTGAATAAGATCTTGCACAATTGTATAGACTTTCTACGGAGGACCACAAGTGATAAATATCAGTACGAGTAAACTTGCTTATTGCAGATGTACGTATATCTTTCGCCTTATTTTTTTAATAACCCCGTTTGAAAAGCGGGGGGTATATAGTGATCAGGTGTCCGTCAGTTAGTCTGTCTATAAAGCTGTCCGTCCGTCCATTACGATTTGGGGTACCCATCTCTTATCAGCAACTCCTCATACCACTAAATAAAATGTAATGATACTTTTACAGATTCTCTTTTAAATTGTGACCTCCTAATTTATCTTTTTATCGGACAGATATTTGGACTTTCCCATAGCAACAAATGGACTAAATCATTATACACATGTGGGATCAGGAGTTTCATTTCATGAGCTCATTGTTACACTCGTCAATGTTTGCAGGATCTTCTATATATTTATTCTTTTGTATATTTTACCCGTGAATGAAAAAAACCATCAGTGTAATTTTCAGTTTTTCATCCTACATTAATAACTCAATTTAAAAAAAAAAACAAAAAAACCCAGTATTGCTCTCAGAATATAACTGTACATGTTATTTTGAAAAAATCACAAATTTTCGGCGGCGAGGGGGGGGGGATAACAATTGCAAGGAACAAATACAGTAGGTAGGTTATGTGACTAGATTTCTTTAGATTTATACCGAAGTTCAAAAACAGATGCATGGTAAAAGCTATCAACATTAACCATTTTCAATTCACAGCCAATTTAATTTAAATAGTCTTATGGGTGACCTTCAAGTATGACTCGACTTACAGGAAGCCATATAACCTGCAAATCATCGCTTATACGTGACGCCCCCCCCCCCCTTGTTAACTCAATAAAAATATAATAATTTTCATTGTAGGATTAATAAAATGTTAATTACGAAGTATTTCACATAGTGTTAGTAAATCTTCTTTCTAAATAAATGCGTACCTTTAAAAGCATTTATTCCCTTGGGCACTTTTTATTTATTATTTTGGTCAAATTTTTTGGAAGCCCCCCCCCCCCTTTTTGAAAAAAAAAATCTACGGGCCTGGGTTCTCCTATGCAATCTCTGTATTGGAAAGTATCTGATGCACTATTAAAATTTACATTTGTTATGCAGGATCCCAACATGATTCCAGCGCAAGTGTCCTCAAACGTGGAACTGTTCATTGCCACCGGAAAAAAACGTTAAGAATTTGTCATTGAAGTACATGTACGAACACTTAGGGCCTATACTTCTTCAAACTAACACAACACGTGGAAAGCAGTGATCACTCAACAATTTCGCATTTTTGTTTTCTCTGTGTTATAAAAAAATAATTCATACTAAACTGTTTTGTGCCGTTTATCAGTTATGCTTGACTATGTTCCTATGAATATTGATAAGCTAAGACAACCAATGAAAATCTAGATCACCATTTGACGTCGAGAATATCACGCTTACTGCAAGTTCAAGAGTTACTATATATCAACATTTTGTACTATGTCAATATCGGTTAGACTTAATTTAAACTTTTTTAAATTGATTTGTTTTCAATTATATTTAATTATTTAATGGGGTATCTAGCTTGTATATATGTCATTGATAGTTGTTTTTTTTTTTAATCATGACTTTTAAACAAATGTTACAACCCTGTTGCGCTTCCGTACTTCTTGTAGTCCACCAAAGATCAAATATTTCAGCAATGGTCATGGGTTTCTGGAGAACGTAATTATTACCTTCTGTGCACGAAGGGAAAGCTAAAACCTTAACGAATATAATTTGGATATCTATTCATATTTTATATTGCTTCATAAACATATATAACTGTAAATTTTAAAACCGTTGCAAAAAAATGCACGATTTACACTTGATTTTTACCTCCTATTCTCACATGCAGCAGTGATTATCTTAAATTTCAAGCCCAGGTTGTCAGTTTTATGTAGGAAATTCAAGCTTCAATGCAGTCTTGTCCCGGATTTTTAAAAAGCACGAGATTTTTGATTATTTTGTAATCAAAACAACAAAACACCTGTTTATGGTAATGTTTATTCTTCCGCTATAGAGGGATTATCGCGCTCTAGCGAGATGATCTCTCTACAGGGGAATTGTTCCCAACCTGTTTAAATGCTTCATCGTTTCTGGTTCAGTGGCTTTTGAAAAGATTTTTCAAGACCGCCACGCCATTTCTGCCTTTATCATCCTTTTCTATGAGAATGTGCCCCTTCATTTGAACTTGAATCCCCTTTACCCAAGGATGCTTTGTATATTTTTGGTTGAAATTGGCCACAAAAATCTGGAGAAGTTGAAAATGTTAAAAGTTTACAGAGAGCAAGACAAACGGACGATTGACAAAATGTGATCGGAGAAGTTTACCTGAGCATAGAGATAAAGTGAGCTAAAATTTAAAACAAAGGTATCGAGGTATGACTATCACACTTTTATATTTCCGATATAGGTATGGGAGTCTTCCATCAACATGATCAATGATAGGATATAAAGCGACCTGGAAAATATATCATATTAATACATAACAATGATTTAATCCAGCAAGCGCAGAAGAAGAACACATATATGTATTTGGAAATTCTCAGAAGATATATCTCTTGGATAATGTTTTCTTTTAATTGCAGAATATTTGCTTGTCTAACATTATTCTTTGGCTGGGACATCATCAATGCTTTTAACATAGTTGATGCTTTCTATCAAGCCCTCCTTGTAGAATCCTTCAAGCGCTTTCATTCTGAAGAAAAACTGTAATGCCTTGATAGATTTTGATCCGAGACTTCGCTCTCTGGATTTCCTTTTCTCGTCGGTCCATGAAAACAGTCCCCATAACACTTTATGCTTTTTTTCAGTAACGATTACCTCTGGAGCTATCTTGAAGTCCATTTTGTAGAGGACATACATGCAATCAATGTACTTCAGATCCGGGGATCTCCCAAACGCCATCATTCCGTATCGCGCCGAAGAATCAGATCCTTGGTTGAATTTCCATTCTATTAGTTTATACTCCCATGCCTCATCCGAAAAAAAGATTCCCTCCATCTTTTGCCTGATATCTGGATTGATACCTAGAAAATTTTGTAACCATAAGCGTTTATTGATGTCTCTCTTGCGACACGTTCATTAAATATTGTAGTATAAACAAGATGCAAATCTATAATAGCTCGATGATCATTTGTTTGGGAAAAAAATGGGTGAACGACCAGAGAGCTTCAGTGACATCCATCGAAACATTGTGTATATTTATTGCACCGTTTTTCGATTTATTTCATCATATATCTCAAACTATAACTAACCACGTGGTTCTATACCATATTCTTTTACTACTTCCACAACATAACAAGCGCGTTGGACTGAATTTTTTTGCCACCCAAAATGGCAGTATAAATAGCAGTCATTCTATGATTCAGGGTATAAAACATGAAAAAAAAAAGTTGTTTCAAAAAGCAAAATGGACATCATAATTCTCTAAAGGACATATCAATGATCTTGAAAAAAAAAGAATTGTCCACAAATCTGATATCGTTAACTTTTTACAACAATTTTAAAATGCCATTGATTTTAATGTAATGTTACGGAAGTTAATACTTGAACAAGTCTTATTATTTTTTAAATACAGCTGAATTTGATCAATTTTTCGTTTCTGATGCTCAGTATAGAACGCTAAAGTGTGATTCATGAAGTCTCGCATGAATCCGATATTAAGGTATTAGAGGTGTAATACGCCATTTCCGGTAAAAATGACGGCATTTACCGAGGTGTCTGACATCGGCAGTTTTCGGAACACTGTACTTCGTAAACAAAAATGGCGTGTCGACAAGACGGTCTAGGACGCTAACATAAAACATACACCAAAGAAAAGGAATATAACTTAGCGGAGGAGAGAATAAATATGATATTACGTAGAAAACACGTTACCGGTAATATATTTTGTTAGACAAAATATGCGGTCAAAACGATGATACCTTCAGATACACACTTCATGGGTTTTTCCAACTTCTAAAAAAAGCACCATTTTCGAAGAACGAACGAAGTATACCTTTCTTCAAAACTTTACATTCGTATCGCGATTTCTTGTGATTCTCTCAGTATCAACAAATCGTTTGAGGGGGAAAAATGTACGTAATAGGTAGCATTGCGTGCATTGTAGAATCTGCAATTTATAAGTGACGTTCAAATGTCCATACATAAAATATCTGAGATGTTCAAAATATATCAGTAAAAAATAGAATGTAAATATGTTTACAACATTAAAGAAAAAAAAATAATATTAGATATGAGAATAAATGATTTATACTGGGTTGGGTTAGGGTAATTTTTGTTATTTTATTTACATTCATTAATTAATTTATTTTTTACATAAGTTTACTGTTTAGATGGGGGGGGGTTGAATATTTTTTATTGATATTTTTTATATATATGTGGGGAACAAATTAGTTTTTTTTTACCTTTTGATTAGTGTTTCTGTCAGTATATATTTTAGTCTACATTGCATAGTAATGTTCTGATCTGTAAAGAACTTCATGCACATGGAAGCTGCAAAAATATAGGTCATTTTGCGAAATCAGAATCTTTGTCTGGGTCAAGGTCACTGTGACGAGGTCAATCTTCTGAACAAATGAACCTGACTAAAGTGAAGTGTATTCAATATGACAATAACCTGTTGTTTATATATGCTCACCATTTCATTAATTATCACATATTCCATGACATTTACAAAAAATAATGGCTTAAATTTTTAGGGGTACATCGCTATGATACAGAATATAGATAAATATTGTGGATGGAATAATTTTTTGTTGTTGTTATATTATCACAAACACACCTTACACAAAATTGATATTGTTCTTTTATTGATCTTTCCTACCATATTTTTCTTTGACAGAATATTACAAACGGTTTTATGAAAAAAATCGCCAAAATTGTCACTCAAAGTAGACAGGTTCTCTCGATTACAAGTATTCATATATCATACCTGATGAACTTGAACTAAAAAGAATTCTTATAAGCAATCAGTACTGCTTAGTGTTGCAGCTGAATACATGAAACATTCAACTGTTTGCGACTAACTAGAGTAGAGGTAAACATTACATCTGTACCTTTTGTCTATTAAAGGTGCACCAGTGGTGAGAGGGTACAGACATAAAAATAAGTATAGAAAAATTATGTTTGGACAGAATTGCATGAAACTTTGGGAAATATTGCCTGAAGTGTTGTCCATTATAAGTAAACTAAATTTAGTCATATTCAAGGTCATGACCATTACACCTCTAATACCTTAAGTTAAAATTTCGGGAAAAATATCGTTACGGAAGTAAATCGTTACGGAAGTTAATTCCCAACAATAAAAGTTAAAATTCTCGGCAATAGTTAAAATTAAAGTTTATTTTAGGATATTAAACAAAGGTATGGAACATTTCGCTCCCAAAATAATATAAATCTTTATACCTTTAATGCAAAAACTTTCCTGAATTACCATAATTACGGAAGTTAAATTTTTAAGAGAGACAACTGTTTTTGTCCATTTCATTTTGTTATGTCGAAAATGTAATCGTGTAAAATAGCTGAATCGCAACTAGAATCGACAATATTAGGTTCGGACTTCCGTGGTCACTTTCAGATAAGTTTCTGTTCTTTTTGAAATCTGCATTCTGTGCGTAAAATTTAAAACAAAATCGTTACGGAAGTTAATCGATTTTTAGGTCACCTGAGTCACTCAGGTGACCTATTGCTATCCGTTTTTGTCCGTCGTCGTGCGTCGTGCGTTAACATTTAAACATTTTCAGCTTCTTCTCTGAAACCGCTCAACCAATTTCAACCAATTTTGGCATGGGTGAAGGGGGACAAAAATTGTGAATTTCATGGTCCCTGTCCCCCTGGGGCCTGAGGATGGGGTTAAAACCACCAAAATTAATGCAATCTTTAAAAATCTTCTTCTTTACTCCTGGGCATCAAGCAGTCAAACTGTTGGCATGATTATAATAAGCATTAAGGATGACGTTTACTCAGGTTTCAGAAGACAGAAGGGAAATTTTATAAAGTACAATATGTTAAATCAAAAATTGTTCTAAATGGATAAAATAACCAAGTTTTAACTCAATATCAATTTAAAAATTTGATATTTTATTATTTGAAGAAAATATGCAAGACTAAGTCAAAATATGGTAATGCAGAGGAAATTCGGACTAAATTTTAAATTTTTCATTTTTGTCACAAAATTTTATTTCTTGCAATATCAATTACAAAGTAAAAGTTACATTATTTTTAAACATCATTCTGCAAATATTATGTGTGTTAAAGCTCATGAATTATTTCGAATAATTGAATGCCATGAAATAAAGAAATTCAAAAATATGAACAAAAACCATTCCAGACAACATATCTCAATAATTTGATCATTGACCTCATATAATTTTAATACCATTAGAATAAGGGCAACAAAAGTAAACTGAGGCTATAAATAATTTAGAGTTCTTATCATTCAATAAGATTATATAAGATTAAAAATGGGGGAAAAATAGAAATCTGACAGAGGAAATTCGGACTGTAATAATCAATAAGTTTATGACCCAAACTCTGATCGTTTATTTATATGAAGCAACGCTGTTCCATTCCTATTATATTTCATTATTTAAAGAGTTTTGTTGCTTGTGATATTTTGTGAGTAAAGAAAAAAGTGATCATAGTGTGAAAAATTGAGGTATTTTCCGAGAAATACTCAGGGGTCACTAGCATGAAAAGTAGGTCATTGACCTAGTTATTTGAAATTGAAATTCAACACAAGAATCATAGGTGTACAATGTGCAATAGATGGTTTTTCGTTCTTATCAGTGGAATTTTTTGTCATCTGAGTAAATGTCATCCTTAAGCCCTCTACCAAAATTGTGAAATTCATAGCCCCAGGATCAGGGGTACCGGTGCTAGGGCGGGGCTATATAGATCATATAGTGAAAGTGCATTATTTCTTTGAAAATCTTCTTCTCTGCTCCTGGGTATTAGATAAACTAACTAAGTACATAGTTATGTTGAGCAAGACTGCCTTTTCCAAAATTGTGAATTTCATGGCCCCTGGGTTAGGAGTTCTGGTGTTAGGGCGGGGCTCTATTGATTATATCGTGAAAATGCATACTTCTTTGAAAATCTTCTTCTCTGCTCCTGGGTATTAGATAAACTAACTGAGTACATAGTTATGATGAGCATGGCTGCCTCTTCCAATATTGTGAATTTCATGGCCCCAGAGTCAGGGGTTCTGGTGTTAGGGCGGTGCGCTATAGATTTTATAGTGAAAATGCATTAAATCTTTGAAAATCTTCTTCTCTGCTCATGGGTATTAAATAAACTAAGTACATAGTTATGATGAGCAAGAGTGTCTATTTAGAAATTGTGAATTTCTTGGCCCCTGGATCGGGGGTTCTGGTGTTAGGGCGGGGCTCTATTGATTATATAGTGAAAATGCATCAATTCTTTGAAAATCTTCTCTGCTCCTGGGTATTATTTAGACAAAAGAAGTGCATGGTTATGATAAGCAAGAATACCTCTGCCAAAATTATGAAATTCACGTCCCCAGGGTCAGGGGTTCTGCTGAAAGGGGGGACTCTATTGATTATATAGTGAAAAATCATAATTTCTTTCAAAATATTTTTTCTACTCCTGGTTATAAAGCAAAGAAACAAATATATAGTTATGATGAGCAAGGATGCTTTTACAAAATTTTTAAAACTTGTGGACCCAGGGGTCTGGGGGAGGGGGGGTGTCTATCGATATTATAGTGAAAATGGGTGAATTCTTGGAAAATCTTCAACTACATGTAATTGCATAGTTATGATGATGAGGGTGCCTCTTCCAAATTTGTAAATTTCATGACCCTGGGTCATGGGTTCTGATGTTAGAGTAGGGCTGTGTTAAATAGTGAAAATGCATTATTTCTTTGAAGGTCTTCTCTGCTCCTGGGCATATTGGAGGCAAACAGAGTAAAAAATTTAATAAGCAAGGGTATTTTTACCAGAATTTTTAACAACTGGACCATTTAGTCAAGTGATCTGGTCCTGGCCAGGGCTCTATTAATTTATATTCT